CTTATGTCCTTTAACGCGATTATTATTTATTAAATTAGCTTTGCGCATCGTTCGTTGAATTCTGTTCGGACACGGAATTATTTAAATTCAAATATCATTTATGTACTTCGACTGGGTTGCTTATTGTTAATCTTCACTGTACATATCGCATACAAATTTCATACGGTACACGTGAGAAAATTAAAACGGTTGTCACGGTTAAACTACATATTATTTCGGGACCGAAAATTTAGTAAACATTCTTCAGACATTCTGAAATAAGGATGAATAGCGTTTTTCTTGAAATTATCACTGTCACGTGGTAAAAAAAAAATCAAAAGTTCATGCTCTGTGACTTGTTCATTGATTCGGACGCCGCACACAGACCCTCCTTCGACTGTCAAACTCAGCGGTAAACGCACGTGCCGCTCGGCCGATCGATAACCATATGGTTCGCGCCAATTCGTCTCATTGGCCAGTGTTTTTCGTTAATAACTTGCAAACGAAGCCGCGGATTGCATTTTCGCAAAGGAAAAAGTTACTTCAAATGACCTCAGCTACCCCTCATTTTCGGCTGTTAAAATAATTGTGGGACACCCTGTATAATATTATCCATACCAGTGGGTTTCGCAATATTGATTCCTAATCTCCAGTATGAAGAACCGTTTCTTCCTACAGCCCACACTTGACCAGCCGGACCGCACGAAATACCTACTAAAGCCTGATCACTTGGTATATGTTCCCATGAAACTCCCTATAAATAAATGTTAAACAATTTTATTCTTTAATAAATACACTATTAGTTCAATCAAATTTCTTATTTTTACCATTGGACACGATTCTGAAACGCCTCTTCTAAATAAAGCTTCACCGTTAGAAGCCACTGCCCATATATACACTTGCGCGTCTGTACCAGGACTTCCAGTTGCCTAATACAGAAAGTTCCGAATTACTTATTAATATTTATAACATTGGCGTTATGAACTTTTTAGATCGTTTCGTACGTATAAAGAAACATCGAGTAGTTTTGTATTTCCTAACTCTTGCCAGGGGCCACTAGTCGTTAATTGACATCTTCGAAACCATCTTCGTCTTCTGACATAGTCAGTAAAATATTTTTTTCCATGATATTGAAAAGGAAAATCAGTTGCATACTGCCAGCCATCCCTGTCCACACCACCGGGAGTATGAAAATCTACTATCCAGTCTGATACCTGTTCCAAAAACATGTGTTGAACTTATTAAAAATTACTTATTAACGATCAATGAGCATACAAGAGAATAGACTATAAAGATAGTGTCAGGTCGAGAAAATGATCTCTATAGATGATATGTTACTTCTTACCCAACGCCAGTGCATCGATAACAATTTAGTGTGCTCTCGTGTACGTTTTTGACGTCCCGTCGCATCGCTCCACATATAGCGGTCTGTTGGAAGACCATGGGAAGTGTATCCAGTTACCGGATTCCAACGTTGATTTTCATAAACATAATAATTATGAGTATCCACCATAGAGTTTATTCCTGTATTGCTATCTAGACCTAAATGTATCAACTCATGTAAACTTACATTCACACACCGCTTTAGTTTTTTTTTTTTCATAACTTTATAATGTTAACACATTACCTTTTACAACTAAACCACCCCATCCACCGGTATAAACCCATGAAGTACTGTCATATCCTATTCCCCACGTCACACCGACAGAACAGGTTTCAACCTTTTTCAAGTGGCCACCCATTTGTCTCCAAAATAATGACATTGGCTCAATGATTACCTAATCATAAAGTAATATTATGTTAACGTTGTTTCTGATTTAGATAATTATCAACTAACATTAAAACGATTACGTACAGATGGAGATTTATAAAGTACACTGCATAATGTCATTAGTCCCTTAATTCTTAAATGAGTGATACTCTGTGGTGCTATTCTATGGTTGTAAAAAGTAAATTCTTTATCATCGATAAGTATCCTGTATCCCCGCGCATCACAAACAATTTCTAACATGAAATCAGAGCCAGCTTTCAATGGACTATTTCCATTTCTTTCTTCATCACCCCACTGTCCACTCTGATATGTATTGCGTATGATTGCGTTCTCTTTGAGTCGTGGATTAAAATGTAAAGCTACGTCGTGAGTATCCATCATGTTTTTTTGTTTCAACGATGTCGTCGTATAACAGACAAGATTAAACGATAACCTAACGAATAAAATACTTAGAAGTTCCAGTAAATTGAATTGCATCGATCCTGTTTGAATTATATATTTACCTATCAGCATCATCATGTATGCAAACTGTAACTTTAAGGGAACTACCGCTCCCAAAACCGTTTTGTAATATACACTCAAATGGTAATTCTTTCCCTGCTACATCTAATTCTTGTACGTAACCATCATTAAGTAACTGATTTTCCTAGCAATAATTTAAATATGGAAAAGTTTTATTATAGCAATTTTACTATAATTCTATCTACGTATATCGATCAACTTACTTCTGCAGCAGTCGGATCATACACGTACACATCTCCTAATGCAGTCGTGGTCCAAATTGAATTAGGTCCCGGCCTCCCATAAACGTTATTCATCTGGCAAGAAACTAAAATTGCGGAAATATCGTATGATCGAAATCTGTTATTTTAATTATCTTTAAATTCCAGAATTATGGTACCTGAAGTTAAATGATTTAGCCAATCTTCCATATCAGTGTCGCTAAAAAATTGCAGCCTAAGAACTTTAAGACGAGCTAGTCGAGGAGTATGAATTGCTATTCTTGGACTACCTGGTTCGCTACAGCACACTGCACACATAATTTCAGATATAGGAAATTGAACCTAAAAAAAGTGTTTATTAATTTGAATCCTTTCAAAAGTATTTATCAAAAAGTACTTAAGAAACTTACGATTGTTGTCGCTCCATTTGCATTTAAAATAGTTATAGTTCCCGAATCTAAGGAACCACTGTCACTACTTATCCATTCTAATTCGATAATACAGTCTTCATATGTAGTGCTGCCTTTAACTTTACATTTTGCGTCACCATTTTTTACCCAAGATGACCTATAAGATAAAATTATGGAGGAAATGTTTTGAAAAATATTTCTGTAAAAGAAATATTAAAACATTAATCGGATCTATTTCTAAAATCTTACTTTTCAACTACTTTTTCATATATTAACGGATCATATTGTATTTTTTGCAATCTTTTTTTCAACTCATCTAAAATATGTATTCTCCATGGTTCTCCTATATCTCCATGACTTGTACCATTAGTGTCTGCAATCCTATATGTTTAACATTTAAACAGCGTGTTTAAATATATATTTAATATGTACACTTAAAGGCTACATTATGCAATGTTTTAATCCTTATCCATTCTTTTAAATATTAATTATACCATTTTGGAGGATTTGATGGATCTACGAAACATGCCCCAGCTTCTACTTTGTACCAGGAAGCATCGCATTCAGCCCAATACATTGCGCCAGAACTTTCATCTTCTCCATAAACACCAGAATCGCTTGTTAAATCAGGATCAAATATGCTACCATCCGTTTCTGGATGAGCTTCCACGCCTACCATAGACCCAACTGAATGAACAGGACTCCAAGCAGCTGGATTAATCTATTTCAATTTTTAATTTTAATTTTGATTGACAAAACAAGTGGTAAGTAATTAAGTTCGTATTAACCTTGACAGTGCTGCTCATGCCTTTTCCAGAAACTACTATGGATTCTCCAGTTTTTGTGAGTGATTCGTTTGATATAGTTATATTTGCAACACTAGCTTCAGTAAGGTCACCCATATCCAATGACTGTGTGGATCTATGTTTATATGCGTATGTATAAATATACTGAAAGGCGTAGTTATAATTAAAATTAATAAAACATATTCTTACTTTTTCTTTCCTTCATTCAAGTATATATCCTGGAAAGATGTTTGTTGAGGATTCTTGGTAGCGCCTTCGTTTGATCGTTGCCATAATTTTAAGGATGTCGGTGTTGGCGCCGATCGCGATTGTTCTTCCCATTCTCTAACCAATGTTGTACCTTCGCTAGTACTGTGTGGTCGATTCTAAAAACAAGCATTGTTTTAGTATTATGAAATATAGGTTTATAATAAATATGTAGAATTTATTATAAAATTAATAATTGACAGCATTTCCAACATTTTATTGAGATAACTACCAATGAACCCCAACTCTGATGTCTCTGTTGCTGAGGAGTACCACACATACTATGCCTGTTACTTGACGTTAAACTGGCATTACTGCTTGCTCTGCTAAGTTGGAGAGGTGCGTTTATTGATCTCCATTTTTTACCTGTTAGTTCTGATCGTGTGATACAAGTGCGATAGTATAAACACCTATCTTCGTGGCCAATGGCCCAGACCTGATGAAAATTAAATAAGTAAATCATATTGTATATATTACTACGAACATTTTAATAAACTGAATTACCTGATCGTTCGGGGCAACTGATACTAGAGACATTTTACTCAACATTTCTACCCAGCCAGTACCAGTAGCTAATTGTTCACAAACTCCACTCATTTCACCTTTAATACCTTTCCTAAACCACACTCTACCATCTTGTGTTACTGCCCAAACAGAATCTGTACCTACACTAACTTGTACTAATTTCAAATCTTTTTGCGGAGGTTCAATCTCAGTCCACTCGTCTCCTATAAAATAAAGTTACATTTGTTATCGAAGAAGAAGAAGAAGAAGAAGAAGAAGAAGAAGAATTATAAATACATATATATGCCAATTTGAAAACTTTATAAAATTTATATACCCATTGGATTTTCTCTAGTAACACCTGTACGCACCAGTGCTTTGCCAACCATTAGTACAGCCCAAACAAGACCAGTTATTCCAACACTAATTTGGCATACCTCAAAACTATTTGGTAATTTTATAGCACTCCACCTCTGCCCTTCAGGACAGGTAGTACTCGTACCAACACGAAACATTACCTGTACAGTATAATAATTAGTAACCATGTTATTTAACATGTTCGCTGCCATTTTTTTGTTTGGAAAAGGATATTAGCAATCGACATACGAGTATAATCGTAGCTGGCAGAGAACTTGTTAACTTCTTTGGAACCAAAAGTTTTTATAAAAATCAGTAAAAACGTAATTATATACTACATTATTTTCAACAATTCATTGTAAGAGCTTATGCTTTATTAGATTATTTAAAAAAAATTTTTTTAAGAGTTATACCCTCCCATGAGCAGTTACTGCCCAGACTACTAGGCATCCAGGATTACCTCCAGGAATTTGATTTCCACCAACAGATATGTCAATAAATGGTTCCTGAAAATTCGATAAATTCTTCATATATTGGAGTAATATGGAAGAAACTACAAACTTCCAAATCAGAAGCTACCTCTGTTGCATCTTTGTGAAGAGGTGCAATAGCACACCACGAATTCATGGCACTGTATCTTCGATAACGAACCCATTTCCTCCGTCTGACACATGACTTCCACTGTTTTCTAGTGCTATATGTAGCCGGGAAATCAACCGCATACGTCCATCCCTACCAAAATATCATATTCTCTGTGATCATAACTCTTTGTTTCGATGATGACAACTGACAACAAATCTACATATAAACAGAACGCTATTTCTAATAACAATGTAACTAATAACAATGTAACAGAAGGAAAGAAATTTGTTTACCCTAAGTAGATTTTTCACTTCTAACTTCATGAAAGGTAAGACTTTATTTAACAAAAAAATGATGAATAGAAATTACGCTAAAAAAATAACAATGGAGATTTGGTAAGACGTGTCACATACAAAGAACAAGAGTTAACAAAAGCTACAATGAAATAACTTTAAACTTACATCATGATCCAACGGTTGTCCATCCAAAGTGGTCTCTATTTGCCAGTCACCTTCCCATTGCCAAGCCATTGATGGCAATTTAACCTTATCTCGACTACGATCGACTGTACCATCTTGACTAGAAAAGTTATACCTATCCGTAGGTAATAATCTTCCGCTGAATCCTTCTAAAGGAAGCCAACGCTAGAACATTTTTTATTATTATTATATGAATATATTTTCTACATTAATAAGCTTTTTTCTGATTTTAATTAACATACCTCGTTTTCGTATATCTCTTCTTTAATTCTTATAGGTACATCTAAACCATGTACATGTACATAAACTTGACGGTCACCTCCAATAGCCCACATGAAATGTGGAACTGCTGACAGCTGTTTGAATTCAAGACCTAGGTACATAAACTCTCTCCACATGTTCCCAGATGTTGAAAGTCCGAATACACGTCCCTCATTGTTTATGGCATACAAGTGTGAACTTGGCATTTTAAAGTATTGTTGCAAGAATGTTTTAGTTCACCTGCAACATGTCACTTTTAATAGAACAACATGTTTATCCCAAGCTGTTGTAAATATTCAGAAAAAAATATTTTCCAATATTGCAGAAAGAAACATACAATGTAATATTTAGTTGTAGATATTAAATCTATGAATACTAATTACTTCATATAAAACGTAAGAATTGATAACAATAGTCAGAGTGTGATGAATCAACCCATAGCGGTAACAAACTGTATATATATACATATGTGAGACATAACAATGCAAATATAATACCTTTTCCCTTACGAAATAACAGGTTATCTTTGACTTAGAGATAATGTTAGATAGATGACATAATTTTCTCGTATAAACATAATAATCTAATCGTGTACAACTGACCGAAGGTTTGATTTTTTTGTTCACTTTTACGTAGTTTATAATATATTTACATTCTACAATTGGGACTAAATTGTACTTCGATGTCGATTAAGTAATTCAAACAAGATAATTTAAACAAACAAATTGGAAATCACAAAAAACATGACTTTATAGCGATGTACAACCAATTGTTACTGACACTTGCTGTCACTGCTTCATTCAATATACCGATACCGATCATAAGTACGAACTACCGTACATACATACAATGTGCAATACATGTACGCATACGTACTGCTGCACACTGGGTGACTTTTTCGATTCACTATTTAACCTAAAAAATCAGTTGTTTCTGATTCAAAATAAAAAATAAGTGTATGCACTTAGAATGCTGCTATTGAATTATAAATTTTATAATGATATCTAATAATAATTGTCTAACAATTCCTTTTTGATACAACTGGCACCGAGATGTTATTGAATCAGGAGCCAATAGAAAATAGCGTCCGATAATTTGGAACGTCGCATTCTTTTTAGCAGAGCACGCGACGTTAATAAGGAAAGTATACATTTCATGTATGTACTCGAATACACACATCGGTCGTCTAATAAATTTTAGTTGAATCGTTTAAATTAAAACATTAATTTCATAAGTTAAATTTAGAAAATATTCTTTTATCGTATCGGGTCGTGTCCTCGGAAGACGACGGTGGCGCCTCTTCCGGAGAAAAACTGAAGGTCCGTTCGGGGTCCGTGCAGCGCCAAGTAGCGTAGTGGCGAAACGCTCAAACTATTAGCCAAATTACCGACAGTCGCTACTGGCTAACAGTTCGAGCGTTTCGTCACTATGCGTACCGGCGCTATCTTCATATTTTAAGGAGCAAATAATTCGTGCCGGATTTTGTATTGTACCGCATATCAATAGCGGCAAGAATCATCTGCTCTCTACATTTGCAATAATAAACGATCTTTTCTTGCATGCTGTAGATGCAAGAGAGTCTCGTGGACATTTATGTACCCTCGGAACAATTTTTCAATCCTTGAATTGACAGATTTTATGCCATTTTCTACATTCCCTATTCTCTTGATAGATAGATCGACAAGAATCATCCGTGTCTGTAACAAATATTAAATTTTGTCTGCTATATCACTAATAACAAATAGTTCTCCTGACACGAAATTGTTGAAATACTCTCACGGAACAAATTTTGTTAATGCATACGAATAGTTACGGAGTGGTAGCTTCAATACGAAAGAGAAAGCTACGATATTTCATTGAATTATAATAACAAAATATTTATTCGCAATGATTGTTTACATAATATTATTCGAGTCCGATACAATTAAAACGATATGGTCCGATACATATGTTTCGAAAATGATTACAACCCCATCCAGAGGGAATGAAACCCTCATTTAATTGATGAGTAATTGATTGGCTTCTCCAGCAATATAAAAGACACCTCTGCTGTAACCATTGACAGTACAATATCCTTAATCGAAGTTTACGAATCGTTCGTCTTACAGGCAGACATTTCGCATTTGACATTAGCATGTGAGTTACGTTCTACCAAATTTCAAATTTAGCTGTACCAGTTAATCCGAACATATTTTCTATTGCAATTATTTATCCAATTTTTCAGGACATCCAGCAGCTACCTTTACTGTATCATCCTAATCGCTCTTTCGGAGTGCAGAATGATCCTCGCAGCGAGAACATTGGCGTCGAACGAAATGATGAACAACAACGTTCAAAGTCCTGTAATTATGACACATCTACCCAACGTGGTAAACGTTAAAATTATTTAATAATAATTCATTGTTAAAGATGAAATATTTAAGAGCTATTTAAGAGATATTTAATTCTATTTAATTCAGAGCTATTTAATTCTATTCAATTCAGAGATATTTAATCCTATTTAATTCAGAGACATTTAATTCACAATTCTACGCGTTGTCGACTGTATATATGCTTCCGTTGTTGCGTTGATGTATATATATATATATATATATGCTTTCATTCGATTCTAGATTCAATCGATGCAAGAAAATCTGGAGAACAGCGACAATCGATTATGCGAGATAGAGTACCAAGTTGTAAGTATTTTTGTCGTTATATTGCCGATAATATTCTAAAATTAAATAATAATTAATAAAATAATAATAATAATAATAAAATTAATAAAATTAAGCTTTTATTTTCGAAACAATCCCTTTAATGTTAAAAGAAAAAAAAGGGGAAGCAAAAATGTTCAATTATACTAATAATGTTCTACCAACAATAATGTTCGTTTCAGACAAGAAAGACCATAGGGAAATGCGTGAAGTTGGGCCACGGATTGAACGGCTGCGTATCGGAGAACTACGTGAACCCGTTTCACCAAGACTGCATCTAAGCTTCTAAGCTCGCCTTCAAATTACCTGCGAAGCGGATTCAACGTTCGTTAAACCCTTGCCGTACCATTTTCTTCATAGTTACAACGATTACACAGTTTTTCGATTGTAACGATTTCTAAGAAAAAAAAAGAAAAGATAATTTATATGTATCCTGTGTCTACATTAATCAATTAATATCTACTTAAATATCTAATAAATTAAATCTACTTAATTATTACTAATAAATTAAATCTACTCTAATAAATTAAATTTACTTAATTATTACTAATAAATTAAATCTACTTAAATCAGTATTTAAGTACTGATGACAAGAAATCAGAATTTTATTCAGACTAAGAAGAACGGAATAGCATTCGTATTTAACAGATTATTACTAGAAATAACTAATAAATTAAATTTACTTAATTATTACTAATAAATTAAATCTACTTAAATCAGTATTTAAGTACTGATGACAAGAAATCAGAATTTTATTCAGACTAAGGAGAACGGAATAATGTAACAGGTTATTACTAGAAATAACTAATAAATTAAATATACTTAATTATTACTAATAAATTAAATCTACTTAATTATTACTAATAAATTAAATCTACTTAAATCAGTATTTAAGTACTGATGACAAGAAATCAGAATTTTATTCAGACTAAGGAGAACGGAATATAGCATTCGTATTTAACAGATTATTACTAGAAATAACTAATAAATTAAATTTACTTAATTATTACTAATAAATTAAATCTACTTAAATCAGTATTTAAATACTGATGACAAGAAATTAGAATTTTATTCAGACTAAGGAGAACGGAATATAGCATTCGTATTTAACAGATTATTACTAGAAATAAATAATAAACTAAAAAAATCTACTTAATTATTACTAATAAATTAAATCTACTTAAATCAGTATTTAAATACTGATGACAAGAAATTAGAATTTTATTCAGACTAAGGAGAACGGAATATAGCATTCGTATTTAACAGATTATTACTAGAAATAAATAATAAACTAAAAAAATCTACTTAATTATTACTAATAAATTAAATCTACTTAAATCAGTATTTAAATACTGATGACAAGAAATTAGAATTTTATTCAGACTAAGGAGAACGGAATATAGCATTCGTATTTAACAGATTATTACTAGAAATAAATAATAAACTAAAAAAATCTACTTAATTATTACTAATAAATTAAATCTACTTAAATCAGTATTTAAATACTGATGACAAGAAATTAGAATTTTATTCAGACTAAGAAGAACGGAATAGCATTCGTATTTAACAGATTATTACTAGAAATAACTAATAAATTAAATTTACTTAATTATTACTAATAAATTAAATCTACTTAAATCAGTATTTAAATACTGATGACAAGAAATTAGAATTTTATTCAGACTAAGAAGAACGGAATAGCATTCGTATTTAACAGATTATTACTAGAAATACCGAATAAATTAAATCTACTTAACTATTACTAATAAATAAAATCGACTTAAATCAGTATTTAAACACTGATTGACAAGAAATCAGAATTTTATTCAGACTAAGAATTTTTAACAGAAGTTATTACTAGAAATCTCGATCGAACTCGTCGAATTACTCGGCAGGGGGTTAATACCGCTACGGCGTCGACATCGTGAAATCAATTCTTAAGAAAATCGTCGCACTTATCGACTACTTAAGTATTCGTTCGGAGAACCGATGTAAACGCCGACTCGATGTAACGTTACCGCAAATCACACAGGTGCCAAACCGGGCCGAAATAAACATCTTCAAGCGAACACGTGTCGTCCCCTTTCGATCCGCCTCTCCGTCTTGTTTACTCGAGCTACGACGCGCGGCGAAGCGAAAGAATTACGAGAGGATCGAATGATTTCCCTTCGGAGCCTTAATTCGAGGCTGCCACGAGTGGATCGTTGGAAAATCTCGAGCCGAGAGATTGCCAGGAGCCTCGAGAGACGGATGGGCGTAGGATCGAAACCGTCGAGCGTCATGAAGAAAAACTGGCCCCCGTGTTTCCGGTGCACGTGACGAACAGACGCCGTTCTCCCTATCAATTTCGTGAAGTCCTCGTGGCACGGACGCGAGTGGGGCTGCCGCTATAAAGTCTCTGGGAACACGAGGACATTCCTCTAGATCGCAGCCGATCCGGATGAAGGGACTTCGAGGGCTCGCCGGCACCTGGGCGACGATCTGGCTGCTCTGCGGGTTCACGCCGTGGATCCGCGGAAAAATGATTCCCGAGGACTTTGGTAAGGCTCGCGTTCTCGTTTTATCGAGGTCATCGGAGCGACAATTGTTCCGTTGGCTCGTTGCTTCTTCGACGCTGCTTGCTGTTTCGCGATAATAATAATAATAATAATTCTTCCGACTTATGGTGTTTTCGGTTTACACGACAAAGCGCGTTTTACGCGTATGACATCGAGTCTTGCGACGCTTTGGTTACAATTACGGTTTAAACAATTTTCTAGATTTAAACTTTCATTGTAGATGAATTATTTTGGAACGTGATATAACAGTTTTAGTTATGTTTTATTATGTTTTAACAAAGTGTTGATATTCTGGGATTCTTGTAATTTTTCCAAATCTCCCAGCTATTTTGCTCGCGAATGCCCACAGTCTGCTAATTAGCAAAAATTTATATATTATGTAATTATTTTTTATTATATTATATTATATTGTATAATTATATTGTTATATTATATTATATTGTATAATTATATTGTTATTTTATATTTTACAATATAATTATATTATAATATTATTACGTTATATATATTATACAATTATATTATTATATTATATTTTTATATCATATATTAATATTTAGCGTAAACATGTTTAGTGCAAAATAAATTCGTTTACACAATTGCGCGCCCTTGTTCTCCGGGACGAGGGTGTCGAATCAGATCAGACTGCGGATGTTTATGCAAAATAAAAATTTCCGGTATCAATTGTAAGACGACAGTAGCCACGCGCACGTCTTTTTGCTCTTCTTTAATAATTATAACAAGATCAAATTAATACATCAAGCTTCTCAGTTACTTTGAATCTTTTCAGTAAAATCTGCAGTAAATTTCTGCAGTAAAATCTGCAAGTCCAGTAATGATTACGTACTTATATACGTACGTACGTATAATAAATGTAATTGTTATATAAATAACAATATTAATTATAACAATATAAATTGTATAATAAATATAATTTCTCGATCACTTTCGTTTTTACGCGCGTCACTGTGAAAACAGCAAGCAAGACGCCGCGCTGTTCGTTTCGCTAATATAAATTGTTTCTTCTCCGTTGCAGAGGAAAAGCTGACAGCGCTCTCGAAAGTGGTCGATTATATTCACGAGAGGCCGGATCAAATGAACGCCGACGCCACCTTCTCTATCACTATCGTCGAAGGTAACGAAGATAAAAAGAAATAGTTACCTCGCGAGAATGCGTGTTCTGTTTTCTCGATGTCTTGGCATCCGACGCATGGCCGCGACTGTTGAAATCGATGGAACAACGAGGACGAACTAATCACGAGTACATAATTATCGGCGTTATCTTTCTGTAACAGCCAACATAGCGGCCACGCTTATGCACAGAAACGCGCGACAGCTCGATAACGGATACTGGGAAACGTTGACGAGGATCTTGAAGCTCTGCGACGCGATACGACGATACCTGCTCGACACCCTCGTCCCGGAGAACAAGGACGTGCAATTGTGTAAACGAGTTTATTTCACGCGAAAATAATGTTATTGCTGAGATCGGCTGACTGCGGGCGTTCGCGAGCAAAATAGCTGGGAAATTTGGAAAAGTTAATTTGGAATCGCGGAATATCGATACCGTATCAACCCTTTGCGCACTCGAGTGGCGACTCCGAGGCACCGCTAAAATTGTTATGTCGCGTTGCAAGATCATTTTTGTATCGTCATAGTTTAGATTTGGAAAATTGTTTAAACTGTAATCGTAACTGAAGCGTCACGAGACTCGATTTCGTACGCGTGAAAATGTCGTATAAAATGCAAATAGCATAAGTCGGAAGAATTATTTTAGGTTCACGGTTGAAATGGCTTCGAGCGCGAAGGACTCGTTTCTGTGTTTTATTTAACAATTTTGCATTTTACGGCGAAGATCGCTGATCTTCAGTCAGCTGATCGCGATCGAATAATTTCGAAGAAGAACGCTGCTTGGATTGCAGTGCACCACGCGTTGAATAATCCTGTTCTCTGGCTGCGACCCATATTCTGGCAAGATGGCGGCGTGGACAGAGGCAGACCGACGCCCGATATTACTTATCAGGATATCAGCGAACTGATAATGCAGGGAACGCCCAAGGAAGAGGAGAGCGACCGATGTCTCGGCGAAATCGTTTCGAACGGACTGAACTATCGATATCGAATGCCCGATACGTGCAATCAGATTCTAATGAGACGGGACTTAACCAGAGGGTATCCTCTGACTCACAGGCTGCTGATCGTCCAAGTGGCGAAGACGGTTCGGGACATTATATATCGTTTGTATTATAAATCGGGAAAAATTCAAATTTGAAAAAAGACAAATTTATTTTAATCAAAACTTTTAATTTAATTTAATACAATTTTTTAATTCGATTTAATAACATTTTTAAATTCGATTTAATAACATTTTTAAACTTAATTATTTTTTAAATAAATTTTTTTAATTTAATTTAATAAATTTTTTTAATTGTATTTAATCGAATTTTTCTAGCAGTAATTTTTACTGCCGGTCTGACCACATTCTTTCATGCTAAACATTTTTAACCCTCTGCCAGTAAATATTGTTTTGTCACGTTGCAAAATAATCGTTTTACATTATTGATTATAATTAAAAAAAAGAAAACTGTTGAAATTGTGACCGCTGCACGAATCACAAGATTTAATTTCATACGCACAAAATGTACGAAGTTATGTAAAATTAAAAAATAATAGGATAGAGAAGCTATTTTGGATTTAGAGATAAATTGGCTACGAGTGCAGAGAGGGTTAAGAGCTTCCGATTTGTTTCAGCTGAGGTGCGAGTACGGTTTGCCGATACGTTCTTCCGATTTGGTGGCTTCTTACTGTTCATCGATCCTTCAGGATCTGGTTGACATCGAGGCAGCTGGATTTCCTTACCAGACGCCGGACTTGATGATGGAACAAGGTGATAGAAAGAGGCTGCGTATCTTCGCTAGAAAATCGTTTTTCATATACAGGGTGTCCCAGATTTTAATGTTCAAACTTTGTCAGTGTATTCTATGGCACGAAGTAAGAAAAAAATGTTATGTAAACATAGGTCATATAGAGCTTTATTAAGAAGTTATAACAAAAATTCAGGATAGGAATAGTAATCAACTTGCTGTTACTGCGAGCATATTGGCTTGAATAGATCAGCACATGCCGTGTGTTTATGTAAGCTGTGTTTATTAATA